CAGGGAGGGGGAGGAGGAACCATTGGGGGGGGAGGGGGGGGGGCCGGCCGAACCGGGATCATATATATATATATATATGTATAATCCTGAAGCCAAAACCCTTTGTGTGTGTGTACCTTCAACCCCCAAAAAGAACACGCAGATGCTGGGGCAGGTCGAGGCTGCAAATTCCTGCATCGATGCTATGCCAGACTCAGGCAGACAAGGTTTGTGGGAGTAGAGGTTGGGTTAAAGGCTTTGTAGGTAGATCCATAGAACCTTATAGACGACCCCTTCTGGAGTCCTGTTAATTGGCGGCCCCTGTGGCGGTAGTTTGGAGTCTCTCAGTTTAGGGGGAGGGGTTGACGGTATAATGAGCTTCGGGGTCAGGGGCCTTGATGCCTTGGCTCAGGGTTTGATAGAGCCTTCGGACATACTGTTCTTAAACTTATGCTCGAAAAGGAGGAGGAATAGGAGAAGGAATCGAAGCCGAGCCAAATTGGATGGGGCGGATCGTATGATGGGGCTGGATGAGAGATTCTCGTTGCGAGGCACGGACATCGAGCTGTCCACCCTGGCATCATCCTCGGTGACGGACTGCGAGGGTCCGGACAGCATCGACAGCAGGAGGGACCACAGCCCTCCGAGGAACCCGACAAGAGGAGCCACGGATGGTTTAGCAATATACTACTCTATTTTTGAACTAGGGACTATAGATGATATTGGAAAATGTGAGATTCACATATATCTGTACATATATTTATACATCTACGCACATACATATATATATATATGTATATATACATACATACATACATACATACATACATACATACATACACACACATATATACATACTTAATATATATATATATATACATAATATATATATATATATACATATGTGTATATATATATATGCATGTATTGTATAGTACATATATATATATATGTGTATATATATATATATATGTATATATATATATGTATACATACATATTATATATGTATATATGTGTATATATATATACATAGTATATCTATATATATATATATGTGTGTGTATACACATTATATATATATATACATACATACATACATATATATATATATAATTCACTGGTAACAGGTGATCTTGGGGGCTCCTTATTTTATTTGTAGCATAGTATGCCCCAAAACCCTATTCTAATTATTAGTGCCCCTACAGTCGAGCTGCTCATGGCAAGATTAGGCCTCCATCTCGGTCAGCTGCAACATGAGCCTAAGTCAATCTCAGATCATGTTTGTCCTGCTTCTGCTGCTGGGCGATACAGTACTTTGCGTTTCAAGGTTGGCTCAAATGCGCCTAGGGTGTGCCGAAATAACTGCAGCGGTTCTCCAGGTACCTAGGTACTTACTGCGGCAGTCGGCCAGCAGCATGTACTGTGAAAATTGTTGTTCCTCATTCCTGGGTTGTTGCTAAACGCATCTTAAATATCTATGATCCGGAAGCCGTAACTTTCTGGGCCTCCGAATCAGGTTCAGTTTAGGACTAGTTTCATTGTGGCGCGCCGAAAGCCGAGTTACAAGCTCAGTGCAGGACGTTTTCGACTTGTCGTTGCCATCGTCCTGCTTGCCACACTCTTCGTGGTTGCGAAGCTGTCAGGCCATCCGAACAAGTTTGTTGTAGGAACAGACAGTAGCAGTCTCTTCAGATTCAGTAGAATGCCGGCGGGTCAGGTTTCTCATGAGGAGCATGGGTAGTGTGATGATGCTGGTGCTGAGACGTGCTACCACTGGCACTGTCGCTGATGGGGACGATGGGGATGATGATGATTTTGGTGATGATAAATTTGACGATGGTGATAGCGGCGATGGTGATGAATACGATGATGGTGTTGCCGACAAGGATGATGACATCTCCGCAGGATGCTTATGTTGAGCCGTCTTCAGAGTGCTGTCGGAGCGGTCGGATTTCGAGGATGGGCGGCTTCGATCTGCCTATGAGGGGTTGAGGCTGAGACCTGTAGTCTGCTGTGATCAACAGTGGTAGCGCATGATCAAGCCGAGCTTCGTCGTGGGCATTTCTCCTGTCTAAGTTGCTGTGGTAGGTTGTGAGGATCGATCATAGCAACACTGGAGAGCATAATTGTAAATACGGGTAGTTCTCAAAATTAGGGTCCCTTTTTGGGTCCTTATTATATTTAGGGGACCCCAAAACGGACCATAATTGTGACAACTACCCATACGTTGATGGTTGGAGGGCTGCATGGTGACGAGCTCCAGTGAATGCACCTCACATGCAGGTGCAACGAAGCTGTTACACCGTGAGCAGATCCTTCGCGTAATGGAAGATGCAGGACCGCTAGGCCATGATGGGATCTCAGCCCGATCGTTTTCTGCATTTCTGGCAGATGTCAGAGATTTCCCCTAAACCCTAAACCCTAAACCCTAAAAAAATCCTAAACCCTAAACCCTAAACCCTAAACCCTAAACCCTATCGCGATGCAGGTTGGCTGGCATATGTCGTGCTTTTCTCAGCCGGGGAGCTCCTGCACATTCCTGGCATCGTCTTTGTCATTGCTGCAGTCTTCTCTTACGGCCGTGCGATCGGCGCTTTACTGGCCTACTGTGGAAGCATCACGACCCTGGCCTGGGAAAGAACAGTGCGCATCCGTGCACTTTGTTTACTTTTTTGTTTTTAGTTGCGCTGAAGTTTCGCCTGTGCTGTTACGAGGCTGCGCCAGCATGTACCAGCCTAAACCCAGAAGCAGCAAAATTGACTGTGCACACCTCAGGACGCTGAAAGCCTAAAGTCGCTAAAGCCCTAGGCCCTAAACACCCTCAACGAGAATGATGGCCAGGAAGTCGGGCAGGGATGAGTGAACCTGAAGGTGAAGAGGGCGAGTGTATTTAAAATAAAAAAGATTGTAAAGACCCTAGACCTAAAATGCTAAAAGCACAAGTACCCTAAACACTAGACTTGTTGTGCAAGCGAGGAGCGTGTCGGCTGGATTTTGGGTGACACGTGCGCTGAGCGGCGGTGCAACCTTGGACACGTTGAAGATCAGGCAGGGGACCTGGCTTCGAATGTACCGGTTCTCGAGTCTGACATAGGGGCCTTAATAATTAGAACAGGGTTTTGGGGTATATCCTACTGTAATCATAATAAGGAACCCCACCCCAAAATAGTATGGGTAATTATCAAGGCCCCTGTCTTATAGGGTTCTGAACAAATTAGGAAGAGTATTCCCTTAGAGTCTTTGTCTAATGTGAGTATAACATACGCCAAAAACTCCGGTTCCAATTTAAGCATACGGCCGGTGGGATTTTTGTTAGCTACTTCTCTGAAAGCCCTGCCAAGCAAGAAGACAACATTTCAAGTGACTTCTCCGTCCCAGGCTCGGAAAAGACGGTGCTTCAAGTAAGTACACCAGCCAAGCTCGGATCGGCAGGTGGAGCTTGAACCCTAAACCCCCCAGCCCAAAGGTGGGTGGATCGTGTTCTCATGCGCCTGGAGATTGCTCCTGTGCGCACCGTCGCGATGCTCCGTCTTTGCCGGGAGCCTCGGAACGTCCCGACTACATCTCAGGGAATGGTAATGCAGGAGCCTAAGTAAGTTCAAACACCATAAGTGTGCTACAGCATGCCTCGAAGCCCTATTCTAACTGTTACGACCCCCACATGATACCATAAACAGCCAATCTCAGTATGATGTAGAATTTGAGAGAGAGCGAGAGAGAGAGAGAGAGAGAGAGAGCACCGCGCTCGCATGCAGAGTCTCTTCAGGAGAGGGCACTGGACATGGTCTCGAATTTTCCATCGGTGGAGTTGTACCTTTTTGCAGATCCTATACACCCTCAGCCTAAACCGTGGGTAACCCTAAACTGGCACTGGCTGAGGTTTCTATCTTGCGCCAAGCTTCAATCAGGCCATGGCCCTTACCAATGCGTCTGGACTGCAAGTTTGGTGCAAGTACGGAATCCGAAACCCGCTTCACTGTTTAATGTTGGTCATAATCTACTGCGCTTTTCTTTGCTATCCGAAGGTTCTGGATTCGACAACTCCAGGTTAGATCCAAACCAAGTCCTTGCTCTCATCACCACGTCGCGAGAATACAGGAGGGTGGGGGCGGGACGGCCGAAGAATGGCCAACCATTTTAAGACAGACGTGCCTACAGTCGCCAGAATCCAGGCTGAACGACTTCGTCTTGCACACAGGATCACAGAAAGTCATAAAGCTAAGCCTGTGGTCTGTAGCTTGTTAGCTCCACAGCTTGCGATTTCGCAGGCTGCAGCTACTCGGTGTAGCGAGATCCCGCTATCGGTTAGTAGGGCGTTCTCAACGCATCGGCTTTCATAGCAGGTTTTTCACACCTGATTGCAGAGCTCTTATAATCGGTGTCTAATGAGGATCCTCAATTTAGAGCTTTGGGTTTGTGTTCGGATACAGAGTATAGACAGTGTAGGTATTGAGTCCCTTGAACCCTACATACGCCCGAAAACCCCAACACCCAAACTCCGGACACCCTAGAACCTGAACCCAAAGGCCTAAACCCGGCTGAGACTCTGGAGGTACAGTTTCAGCACTACTTCCTGGGAAGTGCCATCGGCCTGGTTCCAATGACCCTGCTCGTGACCTTACTGAACCTTGCCCTAGAATATGGAGCGGGGGTCTTATCGTGTCATGTCTAATATAGGGGCCTTCATAGGTTTTGGGGCCCATTGTACTATATATTCATAATAAGGAACACCCCCAAAATAGTATTGGACACGCCCCCTGGCGGCGTCCTAACGTCAGTCTGCCCCACGGTTACTCGTGAACAATCGGGGTTGGTTGGGCCTAAGTCCTAAAAGCCCTAAAGTAGTTCCTTTTTGGGGGTTCGTATATAGAATCCTATAGGGTGGTCCCAAAAAGGAACTACTATGGGGTCTATGGGTAAGCCCTAGGCCTTAAACCCTAAACCCTAAACCCTAAACCCTAAACCCTAAACCCTAAACCCTAAACCCTAAACCCTAACCCTAAACCCTAACCCTAAACCCTAACCTGGTTGGGCCTAAGCCCTAGAAGCCGCGATCCGAGGCTGCAAACTTTGATCGACCACGGCATTGTCTGAATTTGGCGAGCTCCGGGCTTCCCCAGGTTTCAGAGACCCAGAGAGCCAAAATACCTCTTAAATCAGGAAGATGCCTTAAATTATAGGGGCCTTAATATTATGAGTTAAGGTCTATTCCTTCATTAATAAGGAATATGCCTTAACTTATAGGGGCCTTAATATTATGATTTACGGTATATTCCTTAATTAGGGGGTATTGGGCTCTCTGGGGAGGCCATGAAGTATAGTATAGTGCTGTAAAGACTTGGAGCAGGGTCCCAGGGTTTCGGGGAGGCTTTAAGATGCAGGTGTTCTGTAAAGGATCTCATCTGCCATTCATACAGAGGTTTAAGTTCATTTACTGCCAGGGAATCCCCTCGAGATTTGAGACTGATTTGAATAGTCTTTCCAGTCATATGCTCCACAGGCGAGCAAGTGGACGGCCCGCAAGTGGATCCGACGATGGCCGGTTTTTGCACCGTTGCTAAGCATCCTAGGATCCCATTTTGTTCAAGGCCCTCGGGGTTAGCACACCCAAGCATCCCAGGTATCTCAGTAGCCCAGGGTACATGTGCTTCGGTGCTTCTTTCCGGTCGTGACAGAGAGCCTGAGTGCCTTTTAGGCGATAGATGGGATGCCCGCCAATCCTGGGCGGAAATGCATTCAATGAGCGCTCCCAGCATCCTTAAACCCAAATTCTCAGGCCGGGCCCCTGTAACCCTAAACCCTTTCACAGAAACCTCCAACCACCAAGAGCGTAGAACTTGCAGCGCAGCCAGGTAGTAGCTAAGTGCTACTGCCGCAGCTTATGATGAGTTCCTTTGCGTCGGGTGTCACTCTTGGGGACCCTGCTGTTCAGGTTTCGAAAGGGTCTGGTAGGGCAGAGGGTCTTGATGTCCAGGAATTCGTCATCTTAGACTGTGCCTAATTCGAATCGAGACCTCCTGGTGACAAAGCAGCGACGTGTCGGGCAGAGACGTGTCCTGCACACGCACCAGAGTCGTTGGCGATTGTTCATAGAGTGAGCTGGGGCAATATCGTTACCTCACAGTGTATTGAGTCGATCTGAGATGCATGAGGCCAGCTCGCGCCCCATCTCTTCAGCCAGAGTACGTGTAGGACCCCAAGTGGGCTAAACCCAGTTGGGGTCATTTGCGCCATTTGCGTCACAGGCTCCTAGACCCGCAGAAGCTGCAACAAAAAGATGTTACATCTCACAGCACTTGACAGTAGAACTCCGCTGAACTTCAGGGAGTTGCTGCCAGGAGGAGTACAGCCAGCTGTCGCGAGTCCTTGCTGCTCTCAGTGGCACGGGCCGTGGCGGCGGCAGTCCGCCCGTTCTGGCGCAGAAGTCCCAGCAGACCATGTCACTTCGTTTCAGATTACCAACTACTGCCGCTGGTCCTGCTAACTGCTACAAAGTCCCGCTGCCTGCTTACTGACTTGCTGCCACATACTCCTCCTACTCTTCCGCCGACTGCTACTCCTGCTCCTGCTCCTGCTCCTGCTCCTCCTCCTCCTCCTCCCGTTGCTACTGCTAGACCTTCTCCTGCTACTCCTACTCCAACTCCTCCTACTCCTTTCCTGCTGCTACTTCTAATCCTCCTGCTCCTATTATTCCGACTCCTATTTGACTCTTCTTTGACTATGAGCTGCTTTATGGAGCTATACGGCTTTTTAGCAGGGCTCTACACCCGTTCTTCGTCCTTTGGGTCTTTTGGCTTTGGATGGGTTTCGTTTAGGATTTGGGGTTCAAGCATCGTCGATGGCTAGAACGTGCCAGAAATAAGGCAGATGTCCACAATGCCATAATCATCAAATTTCCGAGCAGCAGACACATGTATATCGGTAAAAGCAGCACCAGCCGTGACAAGACCGCGATCATACCAGCCCTCAACAGTAAGAGCAGCAACAGCAGCAGGAGGTTGTGGTGGTAGTAGTTGTTGTTGTCGTCGTGAGAGAAGGAGGAGGAGGAGGAGCAGGGTCGTCGCCTTCCAATTAACAGTCGTAGTCGTAGTAGCAGTGGTGGTGGTGGTAGTAGTAGTAGTAGCAGTAGCAGTAGCAGTAGCAGTAGCAGTAGCAGTAGCAGTAGCAGTAGCAGTAGCAGTAGCAGCAGCAGTAGTGCCGTAGTAGGAATAGGAGCACTAGTAGTCGTCGTCGTAGTAGCAGCAGTATCAGCAGGAGTAGGGAGTCGGAGTCGGAGTAGGAGCAGGCGTAGAAGAAATCACCGTAGTGCCAAGGCTGACGGCCACATGCAAGGAGGGCGTGCGGCTCGACGTGATGAGGTCCTTTTGGGGAGCCACCCCCAGGAAGAGGGCTCAGGCATCTAATATACGGGCCTCAATAAAAACCAATACTATTTTGCGGGCATTATCAAAGTATAATGGGCCCCCCAAAAATCCCTGTTTTGATTATTAAGGCCCCCAAATTAAGGTTTATGTGGTTATATCTAGAATCCAAAACTCTCAACCTTTAAGCTCCCTTGACTTAGCTTACAGTAGCCCTTGGATCAGCTTCGTTAAATCTAAAGCCCTAGGCACTAGACACCCCTTTTGAACCCGTATAGCACCTCCCCGAACCTCCTATGGTAATCCGCAAACATCCTTTAAACTTCATCGCAACCGTAAGCCGTTTAATATCGGGGTCGGAGTCGTTGATCATAGTATTCCGTTTATATAGTTCCATTGACGCCGATTGATTAACATATTTAAGCCCGGTTCTAGTCGTTCAAACCCTGTGCACCGTCCTATCAAGGCTCTTTTAAATCGAACCTCATAGCAGTTTGAAGGGAGCTCTTTAAAGGAGCCCTGTTCTAATGCATGAAGGCCCCTTCTTGTTTGGATCCACCCAAATCCTAAACCCTATAACCCTAAACCCGAAACTCTCAAACCCTTTCGTTTGGATCCACTCCTTTTTGTATCTTCGGAGGTCTTTGAGCCTTGAGGGCGCGGAGCACGTCACCGGAACCATGAATCGGCCGATGCTTTGCTGCAGAGGGGCGGCTTTGGGGGCTCCTTTTGGGGTTGGGCAAACAGTTGCAAGTGAACATTTCCGACGGTTTTTTTTTTTTTTTT